AGAAACTATAAAACTCCTAGAGGAGAACATAGGCAAAACACTCTCTGACATAAATCACAGCAGGATCCTCTATGACCCACCTCCCAGAGTAATGGAAATAAAAGCAAAAATAAACAAGTGGGACCTAATTAAACTTAAAAGCTTTTGCACAATGAAGGAAACTACAAGCAAGGTGAAGAGACAGCCTTCAGAATGAGAGAAAATAATAGCAAATGACAAAGAGTTAATCTCAAAAACATACAAGCAGCTCCTGCAGCTCAATTCCAGAAAAATAAATAACCCAATCAAATAATGGGCCAAAGAACTCAACAGACATTTCTCCAAAGAAGACATACAGATGGCTAACAAACACATGAAAAGATGCTCAACATCACTCATTATCAGAGAAATGCAAATCAAAACCACAATGAGGTACCATCTCACACCAGTCAGAATGGCTGCTATCAAAAAGTCTACAAATAATAAATGCTGGAGAGGGTGTGGAGAAAAGGGTACCTTCTTACACTGTTGGTGGGAATGCAAACTAGTACAGCCACTCTGGAGAACAGGGTGGAGATTCCTTAAAATACTGGAAATAGAACTGCCATACCACCCAGCAATCCCACTTCTGGGCATACACACCAAGGAAACCAGAATTGAAAGAGACATGTGTACCCCAAAGTTCATCACAGCACTGTTTATAATAGCCAGGACATGGAAGCAACCCAGATGCCCATCAGCAGACGAATGGATGAGGAAGCTGTGGTACTTATACACCATGGAATATTACTCAGCCATTAAAAAGAATTCATTTGAATCAGTTCTAATGAGATGGGTGAAACTGGAGCCCATTATACAGAGTGAAGTAAGCCAGAAAGATAAAGACCATTACAGTATACTAACACATATATATGGACTTTAGAAAGATGGTAATGATAACCCTATATGCAAAACAGAAAAAGAGACTCAGATGCATAGAACAGAGTTGTGGACTCTGGGAGAAGGTGAGGGTGGGATGTTTCAAGAGAACAGCATTGAAACATGTATATTATCTAGGGTGAAACAGATAACCAGCCCAGGTTGGGTACATGAGACAAGTGCTCGGGCCTGGTGTACTGGGAAGACCCAGAGGGATCGGGTGGAGAGGGAGGTGGGAGGGGGGACTGGGATGGGGAATACATGTAAATCCATGGCTAATTCATTTTAATATATAACAAAAACTACTGTAATGATGTAAAGTAATTAGCCTCCAACTAGTAAAAAAAAAGATTAAAAAAATAATAATAAATAAATAAAATAATATTTTTTAAAAGAAAAAAAAAGAAAAGATGGATTAATTGATGGACAGAAAGATGGATGGAGGAAAACACAGAAATACATAGTAATGCAAGTATAGTTAAATGTTTACAAAGGAATATAGGTGGTAGATATATGGATATTCATTTTTAAATTCAAATTTATGTTTAAACACTTTCATAATAAAATGTTGGAAAATGCAATAATCAGCATTATGTGCTGAGAAGATCTTGGGCAAGGGTAGGTAGCTGAAAGGAGAGGAGTAAAGGGATCAGAGTTTAGATCCTGGGTGAATTAAGTGGAAACGATATATTATTAACAAAATATAAAACCAAGGAGAAGAGTCAATGTTTTACATAGCATAAAGAGAAGGAAGATAAAGATGAATTTTATTACAGAGTGAATCTGAAATAAAAGAAAGAAAGCCAAATTAAACTGTCTAGCAAGTAAGTAGAGGCCAAGCCCAGAGAGATTTAGAAATCATCTACATAAAGTTGATATCAACTTTTAAGGAAGAGAAAAAGAACAGAATGAAGTTGAAGATCTTGAAGACTACCTTAGGGGCTGAAAACAAAACAAAATAAAATAGAGAAGCAGCTAAAAGAATGAATGGAAAGTTACATCAAAAAAGAAAAGAAAAGAAAGTATAAATAAGCTACAAACAACTTTCAATTACAATTCTCTTTTGGGATACACTGAGGGGTAACAACAAACTTCCAATGGAAAGCTATCCTTAGTTTAAGTAAGGAAATTCAAGGCAGACCAGACCTCCCCAGCAACTCCTCTCCCAAAAACCTTTTCCAATTCCTCAAAATTCAGTTGGAATCCTAAATATCAATAATGTAACAATTTCATGTACTTGTGGTGGGCATTAAATAAAAGAAACAGAGAAAACTTTGTTATCAATTCCTACTTTTCAAGAAAAATAGTTGAGAACAGATACCCAGCTGCAAATCTTCTTTAGGGCAGACATGCAGCTACCTTAGAAAAGCAGCATGAGTCAGCTCAATCATCCTCCTCTCAATGATGCAAAAGATATTCTCAGCTTTCAGTTGCTCCTTTCCTTAGTCATTTCACCAGCACTGCTCTCAGTTTCCATTTGGTTCCCCCACCCTACCCTCATTGGTCAACCAAAGAGAGATATACTCTAAAATTAAAAAGAGAAAAACAGATCTAAATAACCCTCACCTAAGTCTCAAAATCTACTTACCTTGAGGCAGATCACTGCCACTTGGATCACAGGAATAAGGTGGAAGTGGTGGTGCTAAGTTTGAAGTCTTTCCTACCTCAAGAGGAGGAGGAGGGGGTGGTGGTGGTAGTGGAGGAGGTGGAGGTGGTAGAGGGCCAGCAGCAGCAGGAATAGGAGCAGAGAGGTATGGATAGGATGGTGAAGCAAACACTACAAAAGAAACAAAACAAAGTAGCAATGCCACAACTGTAACACCTTATAAGCAGTAGCTCATCTATTTCTTTTGTGTTCTCAATTCCAACAAGCAACTCTCTAAGTCTTATGACAAAAACTTAGAAGGTAAACTGTCCAGATTCTTTTATTGGACATGCCAGCTGAAAATGAGTTCAACATAGGTTATTTTGAGTTAAGGAAATTACTTGACATTAAAAGGAAAAAAGAAAACTGAAGCTACAAGGTTTGACTACCAAGATTTTGAACAGGTACATAAACACTATTAAGGCAAAATTCTCACTTAGCTTAATACAAAGTTAAGGATGTTTTCAGCCATATGCAAAAACACAAGACGTAGACACTAATAGGAGAGACTAAATTGCACAGATTACAAATTTAAGCAATCCTTGAAGATTTCTACTTGGTAGTATCAGAGGAATATAGAGAACTCTAAATCATAAGAGTTCCATTTGTGATGACCTACAGAATCTAAAACAGACAGGCTACATGAAACTACCTTATTTCCTTTGATTTTCTATAACTTGTTTAAAAACAAGATTCATTTACGAGTTTCATAGTTTTTGACATAAGAAATTTAAATACAATCTTGTTCAAATATTAATGCGTTTGTCTATGATGATAAAGGAAACAGTGAAGCTCCAACCTAGTAAAAATAAATATCTCCATATATACATACTATGTTAGATAAATCTGTTAAATTTTTTGAAAATTATTGATACAACCTTTCAAGTTTAATTGAACATCTTAGCTGACTTAGAAATTCAAGTACTAAATTTTATCATTGTGTTACCTGTATTATAATTTTAACCTTCAGAACTATAGGCAGTTTAGGCTCAGTAGTCAATAAAGGTTTAAATTCAGAGTTTTAGAACACTTAATTTAGTTAAGTGTTGTCCACATAAGCTGAATTTGTTATTCTGATGATTTAGCAAAAGGAATTTAAGGCCAACTATCAGAAGTAATCCCTATAGGACCTTCTAGAACTAACAACAAGAACAGATGTCCTTTTCATCATAGGGGACTACAATGAAAAAGCAGGAAGTCAAGAGATACCTGGTGTAACAGGCAAGTTTGGCCTTGGAGTGCAAAATGAAGCAGGCTAACAAAGTTTTGTCAAGAGAACACACTGGTCATAGCAAATACCCTTTTCTAACAACACAAGAGATGACTCTACACATGGACATCACCAAATGGTCAATACCAAAATCAGACTGATTATATTCTTTGCAGTTGAAAATGGAGAAGCTCTACACAGTCAGCAAAAATAAGACTTGGAACTGACTGTGGTTCATATCATGAACTGCTTACTGAAAAATTCAGGATTAAACTGAAGAAAGGAAAACCACCAGGCCATTCAAATAAGACCCTTATGATTATACAGTGGAGGTGATGAATAGATTCAAGAGATTAGATCTGGTAGACAAGAGTGCCCAAAGGACTATGAATGGAGGCTACATTGCACAGGAGGCAGTGACAAAAACCATCCCAAAGAAAAAAGAATTGGAAGAAAGCAAACTGGCTGTCTGAGGAGGCTTTACAAATAGCTGAGGAAAGAAGAGAGGCAAAAAGCAATGGAGAAAGGGAAAGATATACCCAACTTAATGCAGAGTTCCATAGTACAGCAAGGAGAGATAAGGTGGCCTTCTTAAATGAACAATGCAAAGTAGTAGATGAAAACAACAAAATAGGAAAGACTGAGATCTCTTCAAGAAAACTGGAGATATAACAGGAACATTTCATGCAAGGATGGGCACAATAAAAGACATAAACAGTTTCCTGACAGAAACAGGACCTAACAGAAGCAGAAGAGATTTAGAAGAGGTGGTGAGAATACACAGAAGAGCTATACAAAAAAGGTCTTAAGGACTTGGATAACCACAATGGTGTAATCACTCACCTAGAACCAGATATCCTGCACTGTGAAGTCAAGTGGGCCTTAGGAAGCATCACTACAAAGTTAGTGGTCGTGATGGAATTCCACCTGAGCTATTTCAAATCCTAAAAGATGATGCTGTGAAAGTGCTGCACTCAATATGCCAGCAAATTTGAAAAAACTCAGCAGTGGCCACAGGACTGGAAAAGGTCAGTTTTCATTCCAATCCCAAAGAAAGGCAATGCCAAAAAATGTCCAAACCATAGAACAACTGTGTTCATTTCACATGCTAGCAAGGTTATGCTCAAAGTCCTTCAAGCTATGCTTCACCAATATGTGAAGCAAGATGTGCAAGCTGGGTTTCAAAGAGGCAGGGGAACCAGAGATCAAACTGCCAACATTCACTGGATAATGGAGAAAGCAACACAGTTCCAGAAAAACATCTACTTCTGCTTCACTGACTACACTAAATCCTTGAGTGTGTGAATCACAACTGTGGAAAACACTTAGAGATGGGAATACCAGACCACCTTATCTGTCTCCTGAGAAACCTGTATGTGGATCAAGAAGCAACAGTCAGAACCTAACATGAACAATGGACTGGTTTAAAAATGGGAAAGGAGAAAGACAAGGCTGTATACTGTCACCTTGTTTATACAACTTATATGTGGAGTACATCAAGTGAAATAATGCCAGCTTGGATGACTCACAAGCAGGAATCAAGACTACTGGGAGAGATATCAAGAACCTCAGATATGCAGATGAGTGAGTGAGTGAAGTCACTCAGTCGTGTCTGACTCTTTGCGACCCCATGGACTGTAGCCCACCAGGCTCCTCCGTCCATGGGATTTTCCAGGCAACAGTAGTGGAGTGGGTTGCCATTTCCTTCTCCAGGGGATCTTCCCAATCAAGGGATCGAACCTAGGTCTCCCGCACTGCAGGCAGACACTTCACCATCTGGGCCACCAGGGAAGCTTAAAGAGTCTCTAGGGAAGGGTTAAAGAGGAGAGTGAAAAAGCTGGCTTAAAACTCAACATTCAAAACACTAAGACCAAGGCATTCATTCCCATCATTTCATGGCAAATAGATGGGGAAACAATGGAAACGGTGAGAGATCTTACTTTCTTTGGCTCCAAAATCACTGTCAACGGTAAGTACAGCCATGAAATTAAAAGACGTTTGTTCCTTGGAATAAAAGCTACTAACAAACATAGCATATTAAAAAAGCAGAGACATCACTTGCCAACAAAGGTTCATTTAGTCAAACCTATGGTTTTTCCAGTAGTCATGTAAAGATGTTAAGAATTGGACGATAAAGAAGGCTGAACACCAAAGAATTGATGCTTTTGAACTGTGATGCTGGAGAAGACTCCCGAGAGTCACTTGGACTGCAAGGAGATCAAACTAGTCAATCCTAAAGGAAATCAACCCTGAATATTCATTGGAAGGACTGAGGCTGAAGCTGAAGCTCCAGTTCTTTCGCCACCTGATGCGAGGAGCCAACTCACTGGAAAAGTCCCTGATGCAGGGAAAGATGGAAGGCAAAAGGAAAGGAGGGTGGCAGAGGATAAGATGGTTAGATAGCATCACTGACTCAATGGACATGAATTAGAGCAAACTCTGGGAGACAGTGAAGGACAGGGAAGCCTGGCGTGCTGCAGTCCATAGATCACACAGATTTGGACAGGACCTAGCAACTTAACAACAATATAACCTTTATATAACTACAGGCCAACAGTTAAAGGAAATGTAAGTCTTAGGGTGATTTAAAACTTGATAACTCTTTTGGGGGCGATGAAACTGTTCTCTCTTGGTTTTGGTGGTGATTGTACAATGCATTGTTAAAACTCATAGAACAGGGCACCAAAAATGAATTTTACTGTACATTTAAAAAATTTGTTCAAATAACTTTTGATTTTGGAGTTTATGCATGTAGAAATCTCCACTTTTACAGTTTTAGAAGAGGAATTTAATTTTTAGAACATCTCCAAATGCTCTAAGGACTTTATGGATTTGTTTTCTATAAAATAATGGCTTCAACAAAGCCTCACTCATTTCTTCTAAATTAGCACTCAAATAACACCATTTTTTTTTTCCAAAAAAAGCAACTGAAATGAGTTCAATTAGTAGAAGTGATTATGATTACAAGGTAAAAACCAACTACTAGACATATAAGTAGCTAAATAAGTTCTCATTGGCCTGAGAGAATCAAGGACAGAAGAAATTTGGTGGTTACTTTGTCTGAACCCACCTTTATTTTAAAATGCATATTATAATATACTCTATAAGAAAGAATTTTTAAAACTTCCAGTTGCTCTAGAGATGCATGAGCATCTCATTCACAGATTTAATGGGGCTCCAAACAGGCTTAACAGGTATAGTTCAAAGAAGGGACCCAGAAAAATGGAAGAAAACTTTTCTAAAATGTGAATGAAAACCAATGAAATGCATGCAGCTGCAGGCTGCTTCAGGACATTTCAGAAGAGAACGTGAAGATTTCTATTCTCTAGAGATCAATGGGCAGGGCCAGGACCAAAGTGCAGTGAGGTGCAAAATTTAAAGGGCCACCAAATTAAAATAAAAAAACAATCCATGATTAATAAAATATCAAAATTTTAAAAGACAGGATCTGCGGGGAGCCGGCCTGCTCAAGGCCCAAAAAGGCTCTGGGAAAGCCTTGAAAGAGGCTGTTCCCTGTCCCGCCACCCCATGATAAAGTAGTAAAACTTTTGCTGGGCCTCCTTTGTTCTTCCTTGAGAAAAACGTAGTAGTGACCTTCACTTAGTAGTTTATCTTGGAATGCCAAAAACAAGATGTAAGCTTCAGCAATCACTTAAGACAAAAAATTGTATTGATGTAACAAACACCAGATGGCATTTTTTATGAACTATGTTTTCTGCTTGTACTAGTATAAAGGTTTACTCAATAAAATCGCTGACTTGCCTAAAGAGCATTTCAGTCCTCTCGACCCCATTCTTTACTTTCAGCTCCTTTTTCTCAGGCTTTTGTGTTGCTGCGGTCTAGACCTGTTCACATTGCCGGCTGGTACCGGCAAGGATCCAAGCTTGTACTTGCATGACCTCAAGAGTGACTGCCTCACTCACCTCATGCTAAGTCTGGCCGAGAGTTCTTATCTTTTTAAAAATTTTTGATACTTTGTTTATCATGGATTCTTTCTTTGCGTTAACCTTTTTTTATATAGTACATTAAAAGTGTTATTCATCTTGATCCCTTTTTTAACACTCCCTTAAATTTTTCACCCAAAGCAAGTGAGTCACTAGTTCTGGCCCTGGCAAAAGACTTGGAAACAGTTACCAAAAAAATCAGTTAACAGGATTTAATGCCTATGAAGATACTCATAAAAGCAATCATAGCATCTAGTTACCTGGCAGGTAAGAACTGACTTAAAGGAAGATGGGATGGGGCTGCCAGACAGACACATGTGAAAAACAAGGGAAAACATCAGTTTATCTAGAGGACTGACAGGAATGATAAAGAACAACTAAAAAGCAGTCATTACCTATTAGAGTTATAGCTGAGGTTCACAAGAGACACAACAAAAAGTAAAATGAAGGCAAGATACATATTTAGAAATATCTACAAAACACACAAATCTGGAATTTACAGAATAGTTTTCAATCATTCTACATAAATAGGGTATTACAATGTTTGATTCACGTATTGCTTGTTAAGCTCAGACATCTGCTAGAAGCAGATAGCCAACATTTTCCCTTACTATTATTAGCATGCATACTTGCTAAGTTGCTTCATTCATGTGCGATGCCATGGACTGTAGCTTGCCAGGCTCCTTTGTCTATCGGATTCTCCAAGCAAGAACACTGGAGTGGTTTGCCATGACCTTCTCCAGGGGATCTTCCCGACCCAGGGATCGAACCTGCAGCTCTTAAGCCTCCTGCATTGGCAGGCAGGTTCTTTACCACTAGAGCCACCTGGGAAGCCCAACAATTATGAGCACAAAGTAATAAAATCATTGTCTACATTAACACTTTCAATGGAAAATTTCTGAGATCATTAATGTATATATATACACACACACACATATATATAGAATGTTTTGTTCCAGGCACTGTGGCTAAGCACACAATTTTTACATTATAAATAAAACAGATACAGAAAACAAAACCAACAAATTTGTTTCAAGTGGACACTATCCAGATTAAGAAAGAAAAGTTTGCCAGCCATTTCAGAAACATTCCATGCACCCCATCACAATCACCACAGTCTTGAGTGCTGTGTGCTAAGTTGCTTCAGTCACGTCCAATTCTTTGCAACTCTATGGACTGTAGCCTGCCAGGCACCTCTATCCATGGGATTCTCCAGGCAGGAATACTGGAGGGGGTTGTCATGCTCTCCTCCAGGTTATCTTCCCCACCCAGGGATCAAACCCTTGTTTCTGGCACCTCCTGCATTGGCAGGCGGGTTCTTTACCACTAGCACCAGCTAGGAAGCCACTACCACCCTCTTACCCCACCATAATCAATCATTATCCTGACTTTCATAGTAATCACTTTGCATTTTTAAGCATTTTGTCACCCAAGTATGCATCCCCAAGGAAGTTTTTAAAAATTGAGATCCTGAGTCTCTTTCAATCTCTTGGTCCTTTTCCCATCCCTGTCATTTCAATTTTTCTTTCAAGGAACACTTGACTTGTTGAGTTTCCCAGTCTAGATTTTGCTGATTACATACTCACTGAGTATTTCAACATGTTCTTGTCTTTCCTCTAAATAGGCAACTAGATCAGACTCAATATTGATTCCTTTAATAGTCTATAGGTAATGTCTCACTATCTTTGCAGTCTTAACAACTATTGCTGTTTAATGTGCATCCATTCAGTCAGTAAGGACTGCAAGATGAGCATATTCTGCCACTTCTTTTTCACTAATCAGAATATTAATATATAGAAATACTTCCCCTCATCTACTATTTGGTTATTCCAGTAGGAAAGTTCATATAAGAAAGGTAGGATAAATACTTGATTCTTTCACTATATTGCCCAATTTTCAAGAAAGCAAAATTATTTCATATCATTCTCTTGAGAACCAATTTTTTTTGTTATATATATATATTTCAGATTATTTTCTATTATATGTTATTACAAGATATTGAATAGAGTTCCCTGTGCTACACAGTAAGTCCTTTGTTTTTTTCATCTATTTTATGTATAGTTGTTTGTTAATCAAAAGGGAACAAATTTCTAAAATATCATCAGGAACTTTTAAATATATTTGGTATGTTCCAACCTATTACAATGATCATTATTCAAGCTCAAAATGTTGCATCTCTGGCCAGTGAGAACCTCTCCAAGATGGCTCTTGAGTCCTTTTGACAGGACCCCAGTACTCTTTGGTAGCTTCCTTGCCATCTAGCATGACAAGATGACCCAGGCTCATCTTGAACATTTCCTGCCCAAACCTGGAACCAGAAATTTCTCCACAAAGCTGTTTGCTTTTAAGTGAGAAATGGTATTTCAGTGTCACAAACTGAATGCTAAAGATACTCATTGTTTCTAGGCCTTTTCAGTAGACAGAGCTAGCAAATAAATTTAAAGATAAAATACTTCAAGTTCATATTGATATTTCCAATTCAAGTGTAATATAATACCATAAAAGCTTTTCTTTGGCCTTTTTAGTATCTATCTGTATTAACTTTCTTCCATACTGAGACCTGGCGTGCAAGGACACAGGGGATAAAATTGGAATATCCCATAGTCATGTATTGTAGCTGACATTATAATCTCTGAATAACAAGTAAGTATAGATTGCTATACAGAACCTGATGTGTTTTCTGAAAGCATTAAAAAATGCTTGGCATATTGTCTCTCAATTCTGCTGTTTTTAAAAATAGCTATACTATATCTACATTGTTCAAACATAAGGCTTTTACATAGTGTATCATCAACGTCTCAGCCTTTATTTTGTATAAATACATATCTAATATTCAGAATCAAGTCTTATGTTGATGTCTCTGTTTTGGTGGTCTAAAAGTCAAAATTCATTCCTCAATACTTTGTCCATCCAATACAACTTTCCTTGGCAGAAGTATTCTGTATCTGCACTGTCCATTACAGTGTACTAGCCACATGTGGCTTTGAGCACTTGGTATGTGGTTAGTGAGACTGAACAACAGAAGATTTATTTTACTTAATAGCAATTATTAAAGTGTCCTATGTGGCTAGTGATTACCTTGCTTGACAGTGTATCTTTAGTAGATTTTTCAAAAAGTACTCATGAGAACAATATTCTCTGAATTCTTATATATTACCCGTTAAGCCTGAAAATGTTTGGTTGGATATAAAATCTTTGGTTCACATATCCTTTCATTAAATGTCACTCCATTTTCTTCTAGATGAAGCACTGTCACAGTTGGATCATTATCATTTTATTTCCTTTATGCTCCATAGGCTCTTTTACCTAGATAAACAAAGCACTTTCTTTAAGTTCAGTTGTTTTACTACAATATCCTGGTGTTGGTTGTTCTGGCTCAGTATTCTCAGTTATTCTGAGTGTTGTTTCAGTATGTGGTTCTAAAGTTTTTTTAATGTCAGGAAAATTTTCTGAATTGTAGTTTTTAGTACTCTTTTCCCTTACGTTGGTTTTCTTCTTCAGAACTTCTATCAATGCTGGATATCCTTTGCCTAACTTCAATATGTCATTTTTGAGTCTTTATCTTCATTTTTTTTTCATTTTAGATTTACCCCCCTTTATATCTTTCTCTTAAAGCATTATCTATTGTATATACTCAGTCATGTTCTTTGTAGCTTAGTCTTCATTACCAAAATGACTTTCTTCCATTTCTAATGCTTTTCTGAGTTCTTTCACTTCCTCTGAATTTTTCTAATCCTGATTTATTATGATTAATAATATCCTGATTAATATTTTGTTTTATTAATGTCTTTATCTCATATTGAAATAGTTGGTTAAGTTCTGTTTAGTGTGCACATTTATGACATGCTTTTACTGTCTACAGGGATATCATCATTTTCCCCTTAAAACACCTCTGTATATGTATATGTAGGGCTTTTCTTTCATTCATTTTTATGTGAAATTATTTTTCACAAACTCTGAAAGGAGATGGAATACAAGAAAGCTCTTCTAACTTCATATGGCTCTCAACTGCTTTTTATATAGTGCTTAAAATATGACTACTTTCTAGTATTCCTTGGCTCTGTTCTCCATAACTTCAGTCTGGACCTGCTCTTTTCCCTATCCTCAACAGTTCTGATTCTAGTCCCAGCAGTTTCCCCCCAGTAAGGAATACTATCCCAAAAGGTAGGCCTGCCAAGGTCAGTTTTGAGAATTCTCAGGGGCCAAACTGTTCCAAGCCCTTCAGTCCCTTTACCATGTACCCAAAGCACTCACCGAGTATTGGAGAGGTCAAATCCCTTCCCAGTCTTAGCTGCTCCTTCCAAATTGGCTGCCCCACTTTCCAGTGAATTCTTATTAGCTCTTCCAGGGTTCTTCTGTTCTCAGGTCCATCAGACAACATCCCCAGTGCTTCTGTCTTCTTGCTCCCACATAGACCCTGACAGCATGCAGGCCTTGTGCCTGGTGGTTTGTCCCTACCTGCTAAATTTTAAGGTTCATGGGGAGACCTTGTCACCTAGTTTTGTTGTTAATCATTGTCCAACGGGTTCTGGTTTTGCTATTTCCATTTTTATTTGGTGACAGAGACTGAAAAGCTATGCTGTGGTTGCCATCACTTTCCCAGAATTCTGCTGAGAATTTTAAATTATATTAATGAAATTTTACAATAACTTAATAAAGTGGTACTATGAGTACCTCCCAAGTTTACAGGTAAGAAAGATTCAATAACTTGTCCAAAGTTACATAGCTAGTAAGTTGTAAAACCAAGATTCTAACCTAGATCTCTTAAATTCTAGAGCCAAACTGTTCATTCTGTAAGAGTGTGAAACACCTCTACCTTAATTTTAGTATAATAAAACTTAACTCAAAATTTGATAAACTAGTACAAGTCCTCTAAATTTTCAATGGGGTAGCAGAACGATAGCTATGAAATCATATCAAAGCCAAATTTGCAAGAAAAAAAATTGAAACCCTGACTCTCAAATCTCATGGATTCCTCAACTATAGAACATACATTATTAAGTAGGTTAAACAAACTTAAGACTGGAGATTCAAGTAACTTTATCTAATCACTATAATTGCTGTATGTGCATGTCCATGAATAGAAAAAGAGGCCTCCAAAGCAAGCAACCACTAATAACCTACCTGGCCTGCCTTGTGTAGATGGAGATACAAATAGAGGCTGTATAGCATTCTGTGAGGAAACTGAAGTGGTACTACTAGCTTGATTAGCGGCTGCACAGTTAGGTAAGACTGGAGCTGGAACATTATTGGCACAGGAAGCTGCAATTGCTGCAGAATTTACCATCACCTGTAAGTGTGGAAGAAATTTTAGAACTCTGTTTGGTTTCTCAAATAAAATTAGTCTCTTATCTGATCCTAAATTTCAGGAAATAGTATTCTGATAACACCAAGAAATCAATCTTCATGTAAACCTAATATAGAAAGGTTATTTCTTTTAGAAAATCCCAGATTACTTTGAGAGCTTTACTTTTTAATATTTTTCTTGAAAGGTAATACATTATTATTATTCAAAAACCAAGTATAAAATTGTATGTACAATGAAAAACTTCCCTCCCACCCTGTCTTCCATCTGCTTAGCTCCTCTCTTAACAAGTAACCTCTGGGTTTCTTGAATATTATCCAGAAATTTATACTGCATTTTTAACATACATATATATTTCCCCATACAAACACACTTAAAAAAAGTGTTCTTTGCTTTTTTTAAAAAACTTCATGAGACTGCAATTTGTTTATCTGATTAGGCCACAGCACCCAATACAGGGCTGTGCACAAAGAGATGTTCAATAAATGATAACAGCTTCTTCTTCTTCATGAATACCATCCTTACTTGCAGTCTCCATTTTCTTATTACCCATTGCAATGTGGTTGCTACCCTCTCTGGTTCTCAGAAATTATATTCAAAGTCACAGTGATCTCCATGACAACAAGTCATAGTAGACTCTTTTTAGTCCTTATGTTGCTTGACCGCTTGGCAGCAACTGACATGACTATTCATTGAAATATTTTCTTCCTAGACTTCCATAATAATACACTCTCCTGCTTTCCTCCCTCCTTGGCTATTCCTTCTCTACCCATTTTTTAAATGGTGATACACAGGCTCTGTTCTAGAAGTTCTTCTAACTCTTCCTTTTCCCAGGATGATCTTACTAACTCCTATGGTTTCAGCTACCTTTTTGATGCCAGCTCCCCATTCTGTAGGAAAGCTTTACATTTTAATTTCCAGGAAATGACACAGACTTGACAGGAAACTGACATTAACTCATTCATTATATAAGAGGTTCAGAGTAGGCAGACTATGAATAGTTTAGTGTCAGCACATAGAAGAATGTCTGAAACAGAGTAGATGAACAATTTGTTAATAAATTTACTAAATACTGTGCTAGGCATCAGGAAGTACAAGAATACTTAACATAATATAAGCAGCTTCTTTCAAGTATGATGAAGGGAAGAGAGAACAAAAAGAAAAAATTCATTTTCCTCTGTTAGGCCACTTCAACTAAATGCAAAATAAAACTATAAAGATTACCTTCTGGGGGTAGTTGTATGAGGTAACTGTGTCCTGAGGAGGCACAGAACATGGTCTTCTAGCCTGAAGAGACTTTAATGAATACACAAATACAAATATGGGGAAATCAAGATGTTAAACAATACACCAATAAAAGATCTGCTTTGTTTCAACATCTCCTAAAATTAAGTGAAACCGATCTGTCCTAAAAGTATTCAGATTTGGAAATGACTACTATGATAACACTCCAAAAGGCATCACTCTAGTGCCTGACTAAGGTGACTGATTAGGTTGGTGCAGATGTAATTGCGGTTTCAGATTGTGAATTTTAAATCATTGTAAGTAGGTTCAAACACATCTTTATTAATCAAAACAGGAACCATTACAATAAACACATTTTTGCCAATGAGAAATAAGTTTGCTTATTCCTTTAGCATAAAAATCTGTGCTTTGGGATTTGACAAACTCTGGAAAACACTTTCTGCATCCTACTGGTTGTGGAAGTGTTTTCCCTGCAAAACGTTGTCGATATGCTTGAAGAAGTGGTAGTCAGTCAGCAAGAGGTAAGGTGAGTATGGGAGATGAGGTAAAGCTTCAGAGCCCAATTCGTTCAACTTTTGAAGTGCTGGTTGTACAACATGTGGTTGGGCGCTGTCGTGGAGAATGCAGCCCTTTCTGTTGACTGATGCCAGCTACAGGCATTGCAGTTTGCAGTGCATCTCATTCATTTTCTGAGCATACTTCTCAGATGTAATGGTTTCGCAGGGATTCAGAAAATTATAGTGTATCAGACTGGTAGCAGACCACCAAACAGTGACCATGACCTTTTCTTGGTGCAAGTTTGGCTGTGGGGAGTGCTTTGGAGCTTCTTATTGTTCCAACCACTGAGCTGGTCACCACCAGTTAGATAAAATTCACTTTTCATTACATATCACAGTCCAATCAAGAAATGATTTGCTGTTGTTGCACAGAATAAGAGAAGATGACACTTCCAAACAATGATTTTTTTTTTATTTCAGATCAGCTCATGAAGCACCCACTTATCACGCTTTTCCACCTTTCCAATTTGCTTCAAATGCCAAATGACCACAGAATGGTTGACACTGAGTTTTTCAGCAATTTCTTGGATTGTTGTAAGAGGATCAGCTTCAATGATTGCTCTCAATTGGTTCTTGTCAACTTCCGATGGCTGGCCACTATACTCCTCATCTTGAAGGCTCTCAACTACTTTGCAAAACTTCTTGAACCACCACTGCACTGTATGCTCATTAGCAGTTCCTGGGTCAAACGCATTGTTGTTGTGAGTTGTCTCTGCTGCTTTACAATCCATTTTAAAATCGAATAAGAAAATCACTCGAATTTACTTTTTGTCTAACATCATTTCCACAGTCTAAAATAAAAAATAAACTGCACATAACAAGTCATTAGAAAAAAATAAAAACTGAGAAATGCACATTAAAATCATGTATAACACAACCATATTTATTTAAGAATGTATTCCAGTACAAAGGCAAATTTCAACAACACAAAAACCGCAATTACTTTTGCACTAACTTAATATGTCCTACTGTAGAAATCTTCATCATATCCAAGTCTAGTCACAATGCAGATACTAAAATGTAATGGAGGACTATAATTTAAACACTTTCTCAGTGTCCTCTCTTGCCATAAAAACCTCAAAATCAGTAGGACCAGCAACAGTGTTGCTAAAAGAAAGAAGTCCATCTAAAGATACAGCTTGGGACAAGGGTGGATAACTGGTCAGATGCATCCTACAAGCAGGATGTAGTATAATGCAAACATCCTTCTCCTTTGGTTCAAGACCCTGTCTTTGTGAAAGCAAAAATGATTTTAAAGGACTCAGAATTATGCATGACAGATAGTCATGACAGGAAAATAAACTAGCAGCAGAAACTGGTACTCATAGTAAGAACACAGAGGAAATCAGGGGAAGTAATCACAGGAAACAAGAGGAACCACAATGTGACAAAGACAAGCACAACTTAAGGTGGACTAAAGAGTGAACATTTCAAAAGTTTTGTTTCAAGTACAGCACAAAGTGAAAGTGTTAGTCACTCAGTCGTGTCCAACTCTGCCACCCCATAGACTAGCCAGCAAGGCTCCCCTAATCCATGGAATTCTCCAGGCAAGAATACTGGAATGGGTTGCCATTCCTTTCTCCAGGGGATCTTCCCGACCCAGAGATCGAACTCTGGTCTCGGGAAGCCCCGAGTGCAAACCAAATACCTGCCAAAAAGTGAACTCAGCCCTGGCTCAGAAGGCCCAGTGTGAATTCCAAACAATTCTAGAGAAGGATTTAGGTGAGACTTAGGCGTGGAAGTAAGAATAATAAATGCTGGGGTTAGAAAAAGAGTCTGTGCCTGGAAATCTTAAAGTCCTGCAGAGGTCCTCTCCTCTCAGAATGCTGTGGAAAAATTACTTAGAAACTTGATGACTGGGGCATGGGGGCAGAACACATCATGAAGAGATTGAAACCTACTGGGGATGTATGATAAAGTAAGTTCAGAACAAAAAGGAAGATGTAACAAATAAAATTAAAGAGACAAAAAGAAAATGTCTACTCTTGTCATCCCTGAAGGTGAGATTTTCACTTGCTTTTTCAACTTGGGTGGCTATTTCAAGAAATGGTATAAAAAGCATGTAATACTGAGAATAGTAATGACAGAGGGAGGGGAAAAACTATTTCTCTAGCAGGGGCAAAGGAAGGTAAGAAGAAATAATGGGAAGAGAATTATGTATCACAGTTTTCTTCACCTTCCTAAGATGTAGTGCCTAAACAGTAAAAACAAAAATTAAGTACATGAAGCTATCTATCAAAATTTAAATTAATCACAGAGAACAGAAGGTAGTCATTCAACTTCTTCACAGATATTCCAATTCTCCTCCTAGGTACATGGGTATATTGCTCTTCCTGGCCTCATCTAGTTAGGTATGCCTATGCCCTTGTGGCTTGTTTAGACAATGACATATGAGCAAAAATACTGATACCCAGTGTTTAATTTCCTTATCTTCAGCTCTGCCAAGATGACTATGAAAGTACATGGTCCATCAGCTTGGGTTCTTGAGTGACTCTGATGAACAAAGGCCTGCTACCAACCTGCACTGGACCTATAACATTAGCAAGAACAACTGTGTTAAGTCGCTGAGATTTTGGGGGATTGCTGCCACAGCATAACTTAGCTTGACCAAAACAGTAACTGGTAACTAAAATTAGGGTGCTGCTATAACAGAAACTTGACTTGAGAAGATTATGAACTTGTAGCTCTTAAGGGAAGAGGTTTAGGAAACAGAACATTAGTTTTGTGTTTTGATTACTGCTGGCAGATTTTAGCAAGGTACTTTAAGATATATAAAGAAAAGTAGTTTGTAGGCAGGAATGAAAGGGAATAGAATCCTTGAATACTGGGACTTTTAGGGTTTGAAGAGGTAAGTGCTTCAACTCAAAACTGTAAAAGATAAAATTGATAAATATTTTGAACAACAAAGAGAAGTTAAAAGCTGGCCTTGAAACAAGATTCAAATCATTAAAATATGACTGCACTAAGGTATCTCAAACCAGGAGTACAATTAAGGATATAACACCCAGTGAGTCCTTGCACTTGGACAAAATGGCTCATGGGAAAGCATTCAAAGGTTATGACTCTTCTATCAATGACTGATAAACTCAAGGTATCTGCATTCAAGTAGAGAAACAGGGATAAGAATGTGAAGGAATGTGTGTCTTCATCTCTCAGCCGTGTCCAACTCTTTGTGACCCATTTACTGCAGTCCACCAGGTTCCTCTGTCCATAGGATTTTCCAGGCAAGAATACTGGAGTGGGTTGCCATTTCCTCCTCTAGGGAATCCCATGAGCAGAACTAAAACTATCCAATTAAAATTAAAAACCAGCTTTGGGCTCTCAATTTCCTATGAGTAAGAAGCAGTGTGAGGAGGCTACTCAGCTGCCAACAAGGATTATTCTCCAATGCCTACTTCAAATATGACCAAGGAAGAAAAGGGCTGTGGCATAATCAAGAGTCCCAGTAAACAATTAACCAGGGAGCTTCTCCAGGGAACAGTCCCAATGCCCAGGATGGGGGCCCTCAAAATGTCTGTCCAGCATTATGTCAGAACTGCGACAGGCCAGTAACTGTTTCTCCCATTCTCCCTGGATCTGATGAGAATTTTAATGGCAATTTTTAGTCCCTGCTCTACCACTGTAAATTGGGTATGTAGGGGGTAAATAACTTTGTATCTTTGGTTTTAGGCCTCCAGATCAAGAGGAACCACATCTGGATCCAATGCAAAGAGTACTACACATTTTCCAGAAACCTTGGGCTCTGAGTTTAATCACACTGAAGGAGATTTTGGGGTTGCATCCTTTGAGGTGGAAGGAAGTAATTGGTCTGTGTGAAGGAGTTTCGTTGAATGTTGTAATCCTTAGTGCTATTAAAATATTTCCAGGTTTTTGACTTCCAGGCACAGAGAAGTTAAGAGTCTCAAGGGAAACATGTTCAGTCAAGTGAAAAAGAAATGGAAAAGTAAGTAATATATGTCATCTCCACGTGGAAGCTGTAAGAGTCAGTGCACCATTCACTACCTTTTGTTTCCTGTCTTACCAATCATGAATGGAGCTTCCATCAGCCTAAGCCCCTAAGCAGAGCCCTCCTGAAGACCTCCACTACACAAATAGCATAACCCAGAAAGAAACTTTTGCTATATTAAGTACCTGAGATTAATGACCCATGACAAAATCCTCTTAAAAAATCATCACTGCCAATGTTCAAATTTCCTCTTGTATCAACACATATTAGGAACATCTAGGATAATTTCCAGAAAAATGTGATCTTAGATGAGCTAATTTCTGAGTCTCAATTTCTTCATCTACAAAATCAGAATGATAACCTAATACTTCATAGGATTGTTCTGACTTAAAAACATTTAAGTGCATAGCTCTTAGAACAGTGCTCTATTACACAGGAGCTATATGTGTTTGTGACTATAATTAAATACCTACCAAGTTTGCAGTAGATTCAGCTGTGCTATAAACACCTGAAGTGTCATAGTCTGGTTCTAGAAGATATAACCAAAGTATAATAATGAGCATTACTTTATAGTTTGAAATTTCATAAATAATGAATATCAGATCTCACTGACCTGAAGGATAAATATATTCTTCATGATATCCCCCTAGAAAAAAAGACAGAAAAAGTGCATTTATGTAGAGCTTTTTGCTCAGCAGTATAAGATGGCCAGCACTTGCTTTTTCTCAAGTTTTATGGGTACATGTTCAGAACTAAAATGTACACATCCTTGAAACAAGTGATTTAAAGCTTTCATACTAGTCAACAGATATTAAAATCAGACTGGCTATAAACAGCACAAATTTCTCCTTTGAAAATTCCCTTGGTTCTTAAGAGCTCAGGCAGACGTGAAAAACTCAGCTCTGTCCAATTCTGGCAGTAGATTATGGTGATTAACTTCACTGGCTCTGAAGTTAGGACTGTCTAGATTTGAATCTTGAATAACTGTATCACTTTAGGCAGGTTATTTAATTTCTGGGTCTTCATTTCTTCACTGTAGAACAGGGATAATAGTACCTAGCTCATAGTGGGGTGAAAAGAACACAGCATGATGCTTGACATATAGGAAATGGTGATGATGAAGTAATGTGAGTATAATAACCAACAGGTTGCTTAGGTGAACATTAGAGGAATATGTCATGCCTCATCTGTTTTTCAGCCTGATACAGGTAAATAATATATTGAAAATCAGTTTATTGTCAGAAGATGGCTTAGAGGACTGAAGTACTTTTCTCTAAGACTGCTATATCATTGAAATTCAGAGAAAAATCAACCTTCAGTTGGACCACTTTCCACCAAATAAAACCTCAAAGGTCAAAAGTGGATTTGATTCTTAAACATGTCACTTATCAAATACACAAGCAGGCAGCTCCTCCAGAAAACAGGATTTAAGGTGAGAAAAAATACTTGGTTACTCTAAATATGCCACTATAGGTGAACAGTACATCTGAAGGTACCCACCATGCTAAAAGAAATAGACAAAGAGTCATCCCGAGAAAAAGAGCAGAGAATACACATACATAAGCACAGGCATACACATGCATGTAAAAATTCTTCAAAGATAATTCTTTGGCTAGATCTTTTGTCCTAATTAAATTTTTAAAAATATTTTCTTCATCATAAATAGCAGCAAGAGTATAACAAGAAAAGACGCTGACCAGTAAGTCAAATCATTCAGACCACTTCAAAGCTCCTTAATCCACCCAATTCCTCTATAAGTGTTTCAGTAAGCATATATCATTTTACAGAAAAACAGTAAAAAAAAAAAAAAAGCACATTTCATGATGCAAGGCACTCCTAACAACTATTAACAGTGTATGTATATATACATATATATGCTTTAGAGTCAGATAAAACCAAGTTCAAAACTGATTCTCTGCCAGTCACAAAGGACCACATATTGCATGAATCCTTTTATATGAAATATCCAGAACTGGCAAATCCATTAAGACAGAAAGCAGACTGATAGCTACCTATGACTAGTGGCAGGGAAAGGGATGCTGGGGGGATAATGGGGAATGACCACTAATATAGGTAAAAGTGTTAGTTGCTCAGTCGTGTCTGACTCTTTGTGACTCCATGGGCTATAGCCTCTCAGGCTCCTCTGTCCATGGAATTCTCCAGGCAAGAATACTGGAGTGGGTTGCCATTTCCTTCTCTAGGGGATCTTCCCAACCCAAGAACTGAACCTAGGTCTCCTGCATTGCAAGCAGATCCTCTACTGTCTGAGTCACTGGTGAAGTGAAAGTCGTTCCGTCATGTCCAACTCTTTGGACCCCATGGACTATACAATCCATGGAATTCTCCAGGCCAGAATACTGGAGTGAGTAGCCTTTCCCTTCTCCAAGGGATTTTTCCAAGCCAGGGATCTAACCCAGGTCTCCCACATTGTAGGCGGATTCTTTACCAGCTGAGCCACTAGGGAAGGCCACTAACGGGTAGAGGGTTTCTTTTTCTAAAATTGATTGTGATGATGTATGAAACTTCATGACTATACTGAAAGCCACCGTTTTCACTTTAAACACTGAATTGTACATGTTAGGTGAAGTGTACAAATGTGTCAGTTATATCTAAGTAAAGCTGTTATAAATAATTAAATCTCTGCCATTTACCACGTATATGATTTTGGCTATATGTCATTTTCCCTTTGAATCTCAATTTCCTCATACATAAAACAAAGATACACATTCCTCAGAGGGACAGAGTATTATATTAAATTTTAAATATAATTGCTTAGTACAGTATATGGCCATTAGAACTCAATGAATAATAATGTTTACAGATCAAATAGATTTCTTCAGGAAAAGTATTTCATGGCAGTCTTATAAAATAACAATCATAGGAAAAGTCTAAAGTAATTATACAAATGGTATGGACAACATGAACAGTTCCTTACTACTAAAGAATAGATATTTCCAATACTGAAATCTCACCAAATCAAAACTCACTGAAGACCTATCAGAGAACTTAACATTTTAACAATGTAGTGGCCTTACAGAAATAGAAGTCTGTCTTTCTGAAAAATATCAAAACATCTTCAAAATTGAGCAAGCTCTGATACAAGAACTGCTAATTTTCAAAATGAGCTGCCAGAACAGAGTGGGACCCTTTCCAAACCAAAACTTTAGCCCTGTTGTGCTCATACCACAAGAATCATCTTTTTAAAAAATACTGAACTGTAACTGACTCACCACCGTCTCTCTGGCCATCAGCCTCCTCTGAATTCAAAGGCTGTTTGCCTGAGCTATGTCCTTGCCTTGCAACACAGTATCTCGAAGAAGCAGGAACCATTGTAGAGGGCCCTCCATGATTCTGTACCAAAGAGATACACACACAGTGTCCCTATATAGTCAGAGAAAAAGCTACAAATATTTTAAATGTACTTCAGAATCAAAAATATGTGAGGAAGTAATGATCAAGAAAACAGAAAATTTTAGCCCATACTTACATAGGCAAGTCCACCTCTACACCTCTGCTGTAAGAACAGCTTAAAAAATTCCCCTAATTTTTAAAAGCTCTAAGACAAAAACTCATGTTTTCCAGGAAGGGCTTTATTTGGTAATTTGCAAAATAGCTAAAATTTATCCACATTACCTTTACTTAAAAAAATAAAAGAGAAAAGTAAATAGCTTTGTTAGTAAAATTTTGAACTACTTACAGGTAAAGCTGGATATGCAGTCTCATCCCCTTCTTCAACTTCATAAAAAGTAATGGTTTCTTCCAAGCCCCTGGGCATCTGTCCATTCTCTGGAGCAAAGCTAAATTGGCACTCCTTATTCATACAATGCATCTGACGGTGACTACGTCTAAAGGAACTTAAGAAGTTTGCAGAATGAGAAGGGGATAAAAAGATTAAATATGATACTAACTTGTTTCTAAATTCCTAAATACTAGTTCAAATGCCTCAATGTTGACATTTTAAAAATATTAGTCCATATATTTATTGCATAGCAATGAAGTCAGACTAATTTTCTCTAACCTTCCGCACTTAAAGTTCACTTACCGAGATCTATAGGAGAAGTTATCATAGCTCTGGCAGCACCTTTTACCTGGACCAGGGTAAAAACCAACTTTAGGGCCTGCCATGTTGTGCCTGTTTATAAAACGAGATGAATCCCTAAGAATAACGGGGGGGGGGGGGGAACAAAACTCTTATTTACTAGTGCTTGAGTAGTCAGTCTTTGTAGTTAAATAGAATTAACATATCTTTCTAAAAACAATCAAATAGAAAGAGCTTTGCTTTCCTCACTACTGACATAAGGACTATCCATTGTTTTTAATCGAAGTATAGCCGATTTACAATGTTGTATTAATTCCTGCTGTAAAGTGATTCAGTTATACATATACATACATTCTTTTTTCCTATTCTTTTCCATTACGGTTTGGCCTATTCATTATTGATAGATTCAGTGCCATATACATGGCACTCAGCTTGATGGCATTCTATCTTCTAGCATCTTTTCAACTGCTCCATATTCTCCTAGACTGTGAGAATACGAGTCTTCCATAAGTTTCACAAGAATTTACGTATACATCATTTCCATTCTCTATGTACCTTCAGGTAGAGATTATAAGAGAAATTTAAACTATTAAGATATTTCTAAGTTCCAGCATAATTCTGCCCAGGAATTATTTCCAATGTCTAAACAGAGATGTACATTATCTTCAAAGTTAATTAAGACCTACCTGGGCATCCCATATCCCCGACCTTGTCTCTGAGATGAATGTTGAGGATGAAAATGTTCATTAGACATAACATTGCCAGCTGTCTGTGAGTAGTGCATTGGAGAGTCATGCCCATAATGCATACTGTGCTGAAGCCTGGGTGGGAGAAGGGGTTCTTCCCTGCTGTAAGCCATAGTCATATAAACCTCTTTCCCTCTAACTTTCTTGAACATCTTCTTCCGTTGCTTCATGTCCATCTCTGACATAGCTTTCAAGAAAACAAAGCAGTAAGCAATTAGCTTCATAACCAAAGCAAAAGGTCCAAGGTATCCCACAAATGTCTAGAACACTCAAGATGTTTTTCTAGGCAATCCATATGAATACAAGGGAAGAAATTTCTGTATTTTCAAAGGATGTACTTGAAAAAAAAAAGGATGTACTAGGTGTTCCATTTGGAAGGGCAAAATGAACAGGTAACTTCTGTATCAAAGGACATCTCAGCACTATCTTTAGTACAGGCAACTTTTGTCATCAAAACAGAGTCAGTCATTCAATCTCCTATGTTATTATTATCCAAAAATTATGCCTATTACTATCTCTGGTTGCTCCATGAGATGCTTTCCTAGTTCTTTGAGAAATCTTTTCCTTTCAAGTTTTAGAGCTTAAAGTCCACCCCAGCTTAAGCTTAAACAAAGTCACCTACACAGTAGTTCTCAGCTAGAGACAATTTTGCCCCTTCCCTCCTTGTGGCACATTTGGCAATGTCTGGAGACATTTTTGGTTGTCATAACCTGGAGAAGAATGCTGCTGGCACCTAGTAAGTAGAGGCCAGGGATGCTGCCAAGCATCCTACAATGCACAGGACAACTCCCCACAACAAAGTATTATCCATTCCAAAACTTCAATAGTGTCAAAGGAGGAACTCTAAACCAGGATAAGACTTAAGTTACAGCTTTAAAAATAAGTGCAATGTAGATAAGTACAAGAGGAGGAAAATAATAAAACTTTCAGTGTACAAACCTATTTCTGGGATGTAGCCCCCAGAAATTTTCTGGTAACTTCTTCCTTTCCTACTGGGCATAGCATTCCAGGCAGGAACAGGTGTCACTTGGGTAACTGGTTTTAAGTCAGCTAGTGGAACAACATGCCTTAAAGGTAGAGATAACAACATGAAGCCACTGCAAAACAGTCAATTCTTATTTGATACACATCCCTCCTGCTTCATTTTCAAGTGTTTTCTACTTAAACCTGCAACCCCTAGCCTCCTTCTTTGTACATTAGAAAACAAAGAGCAGTTTGTATAAATTCATAGCTGTTTATAGCACATATCACATTCAGTAGGAAAGATTGTGGTAGACTAATTTACAAATAATTGTTGCCTCTCCTTGGAGAAGGATTATATTTTCTCACCCCACTGACTTTAGGCTTAATTATGTAACGTGTTTTGGCCAGTAAAATGTGAGCATATGCTTTAAAAGTCGGCACATGGTTTGTCATGTTTTCATTTTCCACCTGCCCGTGATCATGGAAGCATATGTCTGGATAGAGCCCTTGTCAACCTGGGCCCCTTTGTTGACCTACTATGAACATGCTAAATGAGAAAGAAATGAACTCAAGATCTTAAGTTTGCTGAGAGTCTGGTTGTTAGGGCAGCACAGCCTAGTTTAATGGTTCTCAAAGTGTACCAACAGCATTAGTATCACCTGGAAACTTATTACAAGTTCAAAGTCTTGGACCCCACCACAAACTTACTAAATCAAACTTTGGGGACAGAGCTCATCAATCTGAATTTTAACAAGCTCTCCATGTAATTCTGGGGTATGTTAAAGTTTGAGAATGAATGGACAAGCCTAATTTGATATTGGCAGAGGCTCAGTTAGCAAACTAGCTTTCAAATTAGTATAAATTTATATCAGAATTTTGTTGTACTTAATATTTCTAATAAGCTATTACCTAGGATTTCAAAATTTATGCATAGATATACTGAAATTTCATACTTCATCACATGCTTTTACAATTCAAGATAAGTCATCTTAGGCCAGTACCAGATATAACTTTGTTCTCTTACTAGCATCATGGTAATTCTCAATTTAATACTATAAAAAGGCATCAAGAGTCAAAGATTTTAGTTAACTCAACAAATTATTATATTCTTACTTTTCTGCCAGCTCTTCAATGAATACTGTTACTGAACTGTTTTCATTTCCAACTTCCTGAATATGAGCATTATAATATCTTCCACCTGATTCCAAGCGAACCTGAAAGAGAAGAAGAGACAGTAAGAACACATCTAGTCTTGAGTCTATCAGCAGATCTGGCTTTTGCTAAGCAAAAATACTTCTCCCCAAATGGAGTTAAGTATCTACTTATTAAAGCAGTTAACACTGCCAGTCCAGTTCAATGGAGGCAGCAGAAGCTGAAAAAGCTTTACACTTTACATATAATCACAAGTTTGTGATTAAAACCTAACATAAACATTAATTAGTTTTGTTAATCACATATTAATGACTAAAACCACAATCTCAGAAAAACAAATTACTGATTCTTTAAAGAAGAAACTAACCTGACATTTGTCTCCCAAATAGTACTGTCTCCCAGCATACTCCATATAATCAGATTTTTGAAGTTCTATTAAAAGAAAATGAAGATTCAAGCTCAACTGAACTGGCTCCTTTCCTGTTTTACAACAGTCCATTTTCTAATTTGTTTTTACCACAGTGTTTTGGACAATGCTACCTACCCCTATAATCTAAAATCTGTAGGGAAAATGTCCTGAAGCAGGGTTCCCCAACCTCCGGGATCTAACGCCTGATGATCTGAGGTAGAGCTGATGTAATAATAAAAATAAAGTGCACAATACATGTAACGTGCTTGAACCATCCCAAAACCATTCCCCTCCCGGTCCATGGAAAAATTGTCTTCCACGAAATCAGTCCCTAGTGACAAAAAGCTTGGGGACCACTGTCCTGAAAGGTCTTACCATCACTCCTAACAGGTTATTACTATGGTCGATTTAAGGAGATTTGCCAGAATAGTTCTGTGCTATAAGACACAAATAAGTGGAAACTTGGAGGTTGTAATCTTAGATTTAGTCATACACCAATAAGGTTCAATTTGAAAGTAACACTTCAATTTTTTAAAAAATTAAAAAAAAAAACACTATGCAGCTTCTTCAAGGCAACACAGTTTTCCCTTGAACAATATGGGTTTGAACTGCAGGGATCCACTCATATATGGATTTTTTTCAATAGCACAAGTACCGAGGTTGGTTGAATCTGAGGATGTGGAACTGTGGATACAGAGGAATTGGGCAGACTACAAATACTGAGGGCAGACTACAAATTATATCTGGATTTTCAACCACTTGGAGGATCAGTGGCCCTAACCTTCATGTTGTTCAAGGGTCAACTGTATTTTTAGCAATGTATTGTGTTATACAAGGTATTAACCTCATTCTAGATTATTAACTATACCTAGGTTCACTACCAAGGTCCAAGGAGTTGAATACAAAACATTAAAGGCTACACTGATGGCAGAACTTTAAGACCTAATTTGATCAACTTAGTTATAAGGAGAGAGAAACAGTTACCTATTTCAAGGGTTGGCAAATTTTCTCTGTAAAGAGCCAGATAATAAATATTTTAAAGAATGTAGGCCATACAGACTCTGTTGCAACTATTTAAATCTGTCATAAAACCTTATGGTCACTGAAAATTGAATATTAATTTTCATGTATCACAACATATTGTTCTTTTAATTTTTCCTTGCCACTTAAAAATAGAAAACCATCTTAGTTCATGGACCATACAAAAACAGGTGGCAGATTGGATTTGACTCACATGTCACAGTATGCTAACACTTAACCTATTCATCTATCATCCATCTTAACACATTAAACTTAAGTGGAACTTATTTCCACTTACAATTCTGGTACTCTTAAAGTTATCTAAAGACAGAGTCTTTGCAAAGTTGAAGTCCCTGATGAACATCAGACTCTAAAAGATCCCTTACCAATTCTAACCTATTTGCTTCCTCCTTTGGACTTAAATTATGTATTGAGTAGGCTAAAAAGTACCATATAAACATGTAAAAGCATTTTTCATAACCATGGTTTGAAAACATCTCTTATTTAAGAAGAATTTGCAAAACTGTTCTCCTAGATCTGTCAGGATTCAAAAATATCCTGTTATTTCATTACCTTTTCTGCTGTCCAACCAAACATCAAATTCTACATTACGATAGATTTCTGGATCCAGGGCTTTGAGCACCTTATAGGGGAAGAGCATCTTTGATGGATTTTCTGGAGACTAAAACAAAAATAATCATGCTACAACTCACCATCCTTAAGTCGTCCTTCTATGAAGAAGAAATAAATAAGGTTCTTTTAAAACTATGTACATATAGGCCTTTCCTTCTATATTAAAAGAAATAAAAAACACAATAAGTTTTACTGTGTATTTTAAAAATCAGGAGTCTAAATAAGTAATATGAAGAAATCTAAAAGGTTATAGATGGCAGAAGGGAAATATTTCCTAAAGCATCCAGTAACTCAGGGCATATATAAACCAATGCAACACAGACCAGAACTAAAGATTCAGTCAGGGCTATTCAACAAGTCTCATCTTGATACACACACAGAGGTGCAAGTGTTTCTGTACCCTAAAGTCACCTGGACAAATCTGAAAACTTTACTTCATTCTGATCGAAATCTGTTACAATTTCCAAAGAATTAGCTTTTTCTTCTGCTTTCCTAGAATTTCATGGTATTCCATACTGTTTCCAAATTACCAGCACTTGAGGGCATACACAAAGATTGTTCTAGTAATATTTGCCCTATTTAGCTAGTCTCAAACTGAAGGTCTGCTTGATTTTAGACCTATACAGATGGTAAAATTCCTCTTGCTTCTCCAACTAGGAATACTGCCTATTTTCTTTGAGTAAAACAGGAATAAACATTATTCTCCTTAATGACAAAAAGAAACCTTAGCAACAGAAGATTGACTGCAAACTAAATATCCACTAGGTTTCTAATATTACTTTAACTTGAAAACAACAGCTTCTGAAATTTCTGAAGTGTTCAGAGTAAGCTTTGGAAAAAAATTACAATTTCACAAGAATAAAAATTCAGAGAACATTAAGCACACATTTTACATTTTCAGATCAAGATTTCCACAAAGGAAAACATCAGCTCCTCCCCCACCCTATATAACTAAAATGGACCATTTGACCTTTACTAGTTTAACTTATAATATTGCAAGCCAAGATTATGAAAATTCTTTGCCCTAGAAGATCTCAAACCTTTGTTTCTTCTGTTCCTTGATTGTACCCCTCTGGTATATTTTCAACACTGCAGCAGGCACCCCACTCTTCAATCCTAATTGAAAAGATTTAGAACAAAGAGCTTTATATAAATGCAGTAGCTAAGAAGTCTTAAGTCTAATGACTATACCACCACCTAGTGGTAAAGTAGTTCAGTTCTAAAAATGAGGCAAGTATCTCTTTCATCCCAATATTTCATACCAACATCTCAATATTATGCTTCTTTTTCTTAAAGTACGTGCTACATACACCTCCTGTATTTCACCCCTCCTGTGGGGACAAAATCTTAAGATGGTCCCTATGGTCCCCACCTCCTGGTATTGACACGCTTGTATGATTCCCCTCTAAGTCTGCATCTAACCAATAGACAGGATGTATATCATTATATACATGATGTACAGTATTCTTGCCTTGAGAACCCCATGAACAGTATGAAAAGATAAAAAGATAGGACACTGAAAGATGAACTCCTCAGGTTGGTAGGTGCCCAATATACTCCTGGAGATGAGCAGAGAAATGACTGCAGAAAGAATGAAGAGACAGAGCCAAAGCAAAACCACCACCCAGTTGTGGATGTGACTGGTGATGGAAGTAAAGTCCAATGCTGTAAAAACCAATACTGTGTAGGGACCTGGAATGTTAGGTCCATGAATCAAGGCAAATTGGAAGTGGTCAAACACAGGAGATGGCAAGAGTGAACGTCGACATTTTAGGAATTAGCAAACTAAAATGGACTGGAATGGGTGAATTTAACTCAGATGACCATTATATCTACTACTGTAAACAAGAATCCCTTAGAAGAAATGGAGTAGACATCATAGTCAACAAAAGAGTCCAAAATATAGTACTTGGATGCAATCTCAAAAACAACAGAATGATCTCTGTTCATTTAAAAGGCAAACCATTCAATATCACGGTAATCCAAGTCTATGCCCCAACCAGTAACACTGAAGAAGCTAAATGGTTCTATAAAGACATACAAGACCTTCTAGAACTAACACCCAAAAAAGATGTCCTTTTCATTACAGGGGACTGGAATGCAAAAGTAGGAAGTCAAGAAACACCTGGAGTAACAGGCAAATTTGGCCTTGGAGTACAGAATGAAGCAGGGCAAAGGCTAATAGAGTTTTGCCAAGAGAA